TTTCTAGCTATCAATGATTATAATCCAGGATATAATTAAGCTGACTTCTAATTTATTCTTGAAATATTACATTTCATGTTATAACTACTTAAACATATTGCTAGTAACATCAAAATACATACCATAAATAATTTTTTCCAGAAAATCAGTGAATGAAAAGTTGACAAGCAATGCAAATTCACTTGTAAATTTTATACTTTAAACGCATCATCGAACTGTTTGAAGAAATAGCCCACTACAGGTTACTTTGAACCAAAATCGTAAATAGGTACTGTTTTAAAGATTGTAAAATATTTACAAAATAATAAACATATTCCTGAACTAGTGGACATGAACAGTTATCGTTTGATAAGCTTACCCCAACATATTAAATTAAAAATCATTTATTCACAAACAATATAACATATTAGATTGACAATTATTCTATGCTTGCTACCAGTAATAATAGCTACAGAAAGTTATATAACATACAATTTCAATAAATTGTCATTTATTTCCATTTAAAAAATTTTATTCCATTACCTTTAAGTTTATTGAACAGTTGTTAAAATATTCAGACATTATGAAACTACTGTAAGCGTTTTTTAATTAGATAAATCTATAATAAAGCTAGTTTTTTTTTATATTTCTGACTGGATATTATTGTTTCCTATATCAACAGTATGTCGAATTTCTGAAAACTATATTATATCTAGTAATAGATAAAGGCGTTTTTAAATAATGTTTCAGTAATGTGTTTTTAGAGGTTTATTTCATCAGATAAGAACAGAATTATGCTATCTCTCAATGAAACATCAAATTTATGTCTATATATGGAGAATTTCCACATGTTTACGAATAATAATTAAGATCGAAGTAGAAAAAACCAAATGAAGATCACTCCTATATTCTAATGTTAGCCACATATTAACTACATAACAATTTGTGACATAGCTCTATATCAGAGGGTTTAGTTGAGAAAGCATATTGGCCACAGATGCTGATTGGCTCTAGACATGAATCATATCAAAAACAAAATTATAAATCCTTCTGATTATTAGTCATGGTTGGAAAATTATAGAAAGCGTAAATTCGTCAAATTTTTCATAGACTAACATTATTAATGCTTCTTTTGGTCAATGAATTTTGTGTACATCAATATTTGTTTGATAATGTCTAGTGGATTGAATAGTTTTGTTAGTGTTAGGATATTCATCCAATATCCTAAGAGAATTATTGGTCAATTCCTATTGGTTAATTCCTACTGGTCAACTTTATGGTTATCTTAGATATCAATGTCACTTGCTCCAATGTTGTTTCTTATTGGTTGTCCTCACTATCAATGTCACTTCAAATGTTGCTCCCTATTGGTCGTCTTAACTGTCAATGTCACAGACTTAGATGCTGTTTCCTGTTCGACCAGAATGTATAAATACGCATTATGTGTAACGTTTTATGACCAGGACCAGGACCAGGATCCCTAGTCCGGGACCCTGATTCCCCTCTGGATTTGGACCTCGTACTTTCTGGATGCTTGTAGAATACAGGTTCAACTTCATATCGAGTCTTGTCTTCTTTTCCTCAATATGGGAGTTGTGGTAGTCGAATTTGAATAGCATGTCGTGTCGCCAGATCCTCGGTCCTCGCTCTCGTTTTCCGACTAGGTAAACTCGTAATAGTCCAAGTGTATCAAGTTTACGTGTTTGCGTGCAGGCGTAACCGTTAGAGAATTTATTTTGCTACAAAACTCTATGTTAATAAATGACTCATTCATTTTTTTATTTCATTCAAAATTTTTAAGAGGTAAATTTGTACGATAAGTTAAAGTGTTGCTTTATTATAACGGTTTTCCAGTTAGCAATGATGTTTTTAATGGGACACACTTACATCCAAGAAACGTATAAAGTCAGGTATAGAAGACAAATCGTATTTATTTGTCTATTGATTCGTGACCAATACTACCTGCTCGTATCGATGTGTAAACACACTCAAAAATGTCTATCATAAACACTGAAACATAATTTATTATGTTTAACGAAGACCTGAATGCAGAAATTGAGATTTAGAAGTATCGACCATGTAACTGATAGTAGGTTTATTTATTATTTTACAAAACATTTTAACTATCAATACCAGTGGCAGTTGTATTAATAATAAAAATGATAGTTTTATCATCTCATCACACTGGTCGACTGTGGTTAGTTTAGAATTATGCAACAAGAAATATGTTGGTAGCATTATAAAATATGTCGATATAAAGGTCGTTTTCGATTTCATACCTTGCATACCGGTAGACATGCATAATTTTGTTCTCTATCTTTCCTGTTATATTTCGAATAATTTAAAATCAGTTGTGCTCGGTCGTAAATTTGTTCTCACGCTGTAACATTTTATCAGTCGTAAGATAAACCATCATTAATTACTAGCTCATAGAGTTTCGTCCATATAATCATATCGAACTTGACGCTAAAATGAATTTTCATTCAAATTATTTTATTAACTAAGTAACATTAAATAATCTTCAGATCTAAATGCTTTTCGATTGTGAAACACTATTCATTGGGTAATTTTCTTAAATCAGTTCATAAAAGGTTTCTATTTCATTCAAGCAGGTACGAAATTTTATTCATCTCAATTAGTGTATTACAACTACTCGATGTTGTTTGTGTTATATCGCATAAAAAATTAGTCTGAAGGATACATTTTACCTCTTTCTAACTCAGTAATTCATCTTATTGATAATCAGGAAGTTTCGTCCGTTAAAACTTTTAAATTACAGAGACAAATTCTAGTTTTATTAAAGATTGAAAGGGAAGGAAACTAGATAATCAAAGACACTTTTAGTGCGTTCATCATAAAACTTAATAAGCTGCAACAAAACTGTAATGCAACAGTAATTGAAAACTATTTTTATCTAAAACATTTACTCCATTTCATCTAGACTTGAGTAATACAGTAAATCTTGTGTTCTTATAAAGTAAGTAGGGGACATAATTCACTCGGTTATTGAACTGTATCAATGAATCATCATACTTTTTTTGCCACCACGAATACACAGATGTGAACCTTTAATTTTTTTTTATAAACATGTAGTAACAAGTACGATTTACGTCGACGATTGCAAATGATAATCAAAAACAGTATTGTTCAGAATGATGTTGTTAGGACATGAAATAATGATTATCTGAAAGTAAATAGCTTTATTCAAATCAAAACGCTTATCATTATTAAACATTCATTCGAATAACTTACATTAGACCATGTCTCAAGTAATAAAAAAACTGTGTTGTCTCCAAATAACAGTTAAGATTACAAAACTGATTTGATTATTCATATATTGTCTACTTCAAATACATAATAAGGTATTATAGTATTTATAAAGATTTGAAAAGTACGATATAGACCAGAGTTATTGTGACTACACAATACAAACTTAATAATATTGGAAATCGATAGCTCAGCATAACGATGATAACATTTGTATGTTTACCTTAATACGCTAATTTTGTAATATTTAACGTTTAATTCCAAATTAAAAGGTGATTTGTAGGACAGAATAAATAACGTTAATCATCTGGATTATTTATGAAATCTTTTTTTTCGGAAATCGGTTTTAAACTTTTAGTGGTTTGGTCAAGAGAACAATCAACTCTACGACTGATCGGTAAATAAATAATTATCAGACTACTGCAAACATTGTGAAAAGACTAATTTTTTTATCAATAATCAATAAAGTAGATATGTCTAAAAAACTACTAAGTTACTCATGAACTCAGCATAATTTGCTTGTTAGGTCCCAAAACAAAAGTTTCGTTCAAATATTCAAATACTTGTTAGATCAAAATAATGTGTCAGAAATATGATAAGCGGAAAATTTGCTGTTCTTATTTTTCTTTTAGTTATGTAGTGGCGTGGTTGTGTTTTCGTAAAATAACACTGATCTTATTTATAAACTTTCTGCTTGAGTGATAGTATTTTTCAATTGTGTTAATTTGTAATGATTGTAAACTCTAGTATTTTACTGAAATGTATCTCATGAATTTTAAATTTTCAACAAGATTTAAAAAGTTGGAAGATAACTAATCTTCTATCAATACATACATATAATTCATTTATGTAAATCTAGTCCATTCAATCTAACTTTAAAATGTTTTCATTCGTGAAGACCCTTTCTAAGTTAAAAGTAAAATAATATCGATCAATACATAAAAATTAAATATGTAGGCACATGAAATGAGCTAAAGAGAACAATTTATAATCCAGTGGAAGCTTAATCATCAGATTTTTTCTCTAAAACATATCAATAGCAATCAGAGAATCAAGTGAATTTTAGTTATATTTAAAAGCAAGACTGAAATAAGAATGCAGATTCCGAATAAACTTAATGAATAACTCGTTCTGTTGTTCGACCAGTTAAAATCTAAAATATTCGGTCGTTTTTACACTGTAGTTTATACTGTCAAATACTGTATATAAAGAGTAATATTTTGTTCCATAATATTATCTCATCGTAGTCACAAGTCAACTTTTCATCTTCTGACATTCTGTAATTTCGTGACCAATAAGATTCTGGAGATAGTGATTATATTAACTGTCGATTCTTTTCGAATTTTGCATTGCAATCTTCTGCGTCATGCAAGTACTAATGAGATAATTGTTTTGGATCATTGATAAACATTGAACAATCAATATGTTTTGGATTTCAGTGACCAGTGTTTGTGAATGACTCACTTATTCTTGATCATATTCAATAGCTGTCATATTTTACTTTGCAGTTACATTTTCTAGCATTGACTATAAACAACAAAGATTTAAAATTTCAATAAGCTATCTACACTTCATTTGACCAAGAGGTACATTTTATTGAACATTGTGATAACTATACCTAAATGTTTATTCCTATCAACGATACTGAAAAAGTTTACTTCCTACTTTTATAAATGCGATGAATATAAAAATGTAAATTTCTGGACGTTTTTTATCGCTTGAAATATTTCCTTTTTCTAAAAAATTTGACTCACACTAATCCAAAACAATCGAATGGCCATTGAATATCAAATGTTTTTTCCATAGTTAGTTTTTTGGACTTATTGACATACTTTCTGACAAGAGCTCATTCAAAGAGAAACTTTCAATTGACAATATTTATTTCCATGATATGTAAATTGTTTTCGGTAAACTTCTCTATTCAGAAAAAGAAATCATAGAAAATAATGAAATTCACAATGTGATGGTAATTTAAAAGTACACGTTGATGTAGATAATTAATGCTTGAAAAAAATGATGAATTTCTGAGTTTTCTTAAAAAAATTAAATAAAATGATTTTTCAAAGTTCATTGAATAAACAGGATGAGAGTAATGATTTGCAAACTAGTTGTTAACAATCTACCTATTGATTATGTTCCAAGGATTTATTATTTGAAAATTAACAAACTGATTCTTTAACTTAATTGATAATTTGTTTGAAGTTCAATTGAGTTTTTAAATTAACACTTAAATGCAGACTCATTAGTCTAGAAAATTACCAGAAATAAAAAAATCAATAAACACTCGATAAATACTTGATTGTAAATTAGATACTTTTCAATAGTAGGCAATTTCAGTCATACTTATACTCGAAATTCATAATCTTCACTGTCTAAAAAACTAAAATGATCAAAATTATTTAGTATTCTGTAAGTTTCAATGATTATTCAGTTAATTGATCAAATTGTTTTTAAATTAAGATTTATTTCATAAGACATTCAGTTTAATTATTTTATTAAATCAATGGATTTATTTCTAAAGTTGCATATAGTTGATAAGTTATCGTAAAAGAATATAGTTCTACAAATAAAAAAATACAATTGAAAACGCTTTTTAAATAAACAGGAGAAAAAAGAGAAAATCTATGCCGAATTCAGCTTGGGACTGTAAAATATGTTAAGTAACAATTTATATTGAAAATCATGAAAATACTTTGATAATTACTTTTGAATTTATAACATTTAATTATCAAACCATTAATCAGCGAAATTCTCAAAATGCTTCATGACTCATCGGTAACACTAATAAAACTCACATAAACTTAGAAATCTTCAACTATAAAAAAGTACATGATGCATTTTGTATGAACTAAATGATGACAGAAATCTTTACTAATGGCTTGTAACTTACTGTTGCTGTAAATATATATTTGTTATTTAATTAGCACTGGAACCCTGAACGTGCTTAACGTTCTATTTGAGACTTATAGGCTTAAAAAATCTGTATTCCAGTGTTGATATTTACGTTGAAACTTGGACCAAATACAATTTTATTTCAAACACACAACGCATTATCTGTTGGACTTATCAGTTCAAATAATCAGGGTAGTTTAAAACAAGAAATACCGAAAAATACATCCGAAAAAAGCCTAATAGCTTTATGGTGCCCGATTTCATCTTTTAATTATGAAACTATACACTTTGCAGTCAGTTGACTTGTGATCGTGATAATTACATCTATTGCTACAATCATATAAAGTTTGATAAATTGAATTCATATTCATTCTAAACATAAGTCATTTTGAACTAACTTATTGTTTTAGGAAATTTTTTGATGTTCGACAATTCATCAGTTAAATTAATTTTTACTAACACTTTTCCTTATATTCACCATCCCTATACATTTCATTGGATCATTTGATGTATCTATCAGAATTATGAATTCATATTAAATACTTACTTCTAATTATCACAATGAATTCTTAATAACTATCACTGTCTACAGCGGGCACAATGTACAATAAAAATGTAAAAATGATCTCTCTAAGAGTGATTGCGTCAAAATGAAACTTTAGTTGATGATACCAAATCGGTCATCGTTAGTTATCGGTTACACGTTGACTTAAAATATGAGATTGGAAAAATTTTTCGAATACCTAATAGAGACATATACGATTTATTCAAATATTTATTTTACATTCCCAATTCAAATGAGTTTGCTCAGTATTACAATGCTGTAATTGCTGACTCAGTTATTTAGTGATTCGAAATTTTCCTTCATCTGGAAATTTTTTTTGATAAAATGCACACTCATCTAAATACAATCTTCCAAAAATTTATTAATTACTGACATCCCATTACTTAGATTGACTTGTTAAGACACTGAAAAATTATGAAGCTGAAATAAGGCATATCGAGATACAACTTCCAGTCAATTTTCAGCATTAAATAAATCGATATTTGCTAATTTGTTTTGTTTTTCACTTGTTTCATATAAACCGAATCATAACATCGATCGATGTTAAAACAGTAGTTACATGGAAAAGATTGAAGGAGCTTGATAGAAACCAGAAAGTTAATGCATCCATCCGCTGGTTCTTGCAATGATGCAGTTCAATTTAGTTTTTTTATAATTTTACTTACTGATACGTTAACTTTATTATTTTCATGATGCTAGAATTTGAAATGCTCCAAGTCACTTTTCAGTATTTCGGTGTACAGAGAGAGCCCTCGAGTGTAATGGTTATAACAACGAGAATACAAGCGTTTACCAACACAGCTGACCATTTTTTCTATAAACAATGTCTCAAAGAGAAACTTCACCGAACTGTGTTAATGAGTGTAAACATGTGAAACATTACTTCAACAAAAAAACAATATTGTATATTTCATACCGATAACAAATGTCCGATGAAGCTCCAGTTATTTATTTATTTTCATCAATGTAATTCCAGTATAAATTTCTTTTCTGAAAAGAAAATACCAGCTTACAACTTCAAATATATATATATATATATATTCTTATAAGATCGGTATCCAATTACAATTATTTATTCCGATTTACTTGATCGATTATAAAATCAAGTGATTTTGTGTGTAACTAAGTGTAGACGAGCACTATTTTACCAAACAGTATTTCACTTTAAATAACTGTTTACTACTTATAAGAAATTCTAATCTTATTTATTGATGTCGTTAACTATGACCAAAAAATAAAATGAATTGATAAGCGATGATTCTGAACGAATTTATAATTTTTATTTTTGTTTATATTGTGAATAAGATATCCAGTACAAAAAGGTTATAAAAAGGACGACTGACTTTAATTCCCTCAATCAACCGTAAATCACTTTTTTTTAAAGTTGTCGTGTGATACTCAATTCATCACAAGTTACATTTGAAATTCTTTCTAGGTTAATAATATAACTTTTCCAGGTACATGTTGGTAATATTCCTCAGGTATCTACTAACAAAATGCACAATACAGCAAAGTGTATGTTGTATTCAGTATATATATATATATATATATATATATATATATATATATATATATATATATATATATAATGCACATATATAATGCATACTTACTATAAAATGAAAAATATTTGTTTAGAATTTGAATTTTTTTATAATACAATGAAGCAGTTCTCTTACACTGCAAACGTTAATTTCTTAACAATACGCAGCATTCGCATAAGTAATAATAAGATAATTATTTATTAAAGGATAGACTGTGTAGAACAAAAAGCATGGAAGAGGTTTACAGTATGTTGTTGTCTGCATATTTGTCAATATGTGCACAATATAAACTAACCTGATTGGTTGCGATCTGAAATTTACTAATATGCATAGGTTGTCTACGTGGACAAACATTATCTCGGAAACTGGTGCAAAACAAGAAGCCCTAAATATCTGTTTAATGTCAGTATTGAATTCTTCATTACCTCATGCCTAGAACCCACTTTAATATGGACCTCATGACCCGCCAATCTCAGTGAGAATGATTAACCTTTATAATATTGCTTTATGGTTCCATAACTTACCTTTACAATTCCAGTTAATTAAGGATACAGCTCTATGACCTAGTCATCCGTAGTTATTATCTCTTTTTCGACATAAATACACTTCCATTGATATTGAATCATATCAGTGCTAACATAAGTTTTTACAGAAAACACTTTTCCATTTAAAATGATCTCCAGATATCCTTCAAACGAATATTTGTTGACTAGTTCGCCGTATCAAGATTATCTAAAATCGAATTCATTGAAAAGCTTCAAAATATAAATATAAATATTTAAGTCGTCTATAGTTTTGCACAACCTGTTAACTTTTAACCAAATTTAAGCAATAATAGTGTTACAAAATTTACTGTTTTTTGGTTATTTCTTTTGTTTTTTTTGTAGGATGATTACAATCAAGTAAATTTTCAAAAGCTGTGGAAGAAAATTCAAATTATCATTTTAAAATTATTTACGAAATCAAAACTATATTTTAAACTAAGACATGGTATTATTTCGGCATCTACATTAATGAATGCAAGAGAGCATTTAAATCAAATCTATGGAGTAAAATACAGCAACGATCACTGTCGTGCTGTCAGAACTTTTACGGTATGAACACAGCTTCAACTCATACCAAATACAGCCAAAAAACCAACTTTACTAAACTGAATGTTGGTATCCAAATTTGATCAAAACATGGCCAGTTCAATATAAACTTTTCCACCTGAATTAATGACGAAACAGCCTACATTATCTTCTTTATTATTGTTGAAAGTCACTCAAGGAATAAACGTAATAATAATTATGATTTTAAGAAACCGTTGACAAAGAAAGATCTTACGGTGTTTTATCACATCTTGTATCTAAAGCGAGATTTCATATAGATCATATACAGCTTCATCATAACTAGGAGACCTGTTCTACTTTCATGGATACGTTTATAGCACTAATTATTATCATATTAATCGATGAACAGTTTTGACTGACAAACGGTCTTGTGTATTGTAAACGGTAATTAAAACAAATTTCTTTCATCAAACAGTATCATTAGTTTAGTGATGTAACTAAGCGAGTCGATACAGCAATGCTGAGTAATCTATACTGAACAACATTAATTAACAACTGAGATGAAAACTTATTCCCAGTATCTTGTGTTTGTTTCACTAAGCCAAAGAAATAACAAATGATAGCGATCAGCCTTTCATCTGGAAAGATCATCGTAAGGTTAAAATGCATTTTATGCATGCACACTTATTATCAATTAAAAAGTAATACATTAAAATTATTTCTAATAAACAGAATAGTCTAATGTTATAAG